CATCCTCTTCCCTTTTGAAAATCATCACTGCCTTTACTTCTACTTACTTCTCTCAGTCTGGATCCTCTATAAAACAGAGTAGGGGGGGGAGGCAAAAGAACAATCCCAGGAAAGCAAGAACAGGGAAGAAGCACAAATGCTGAGCCCCACCCCTGGAGCAAGGATGGCTGTGTGTTGGGTCTGCAGGGACATCAGCAAAGAGGACATGGGGGCTCTGTGTGTCAGTGAAGACCATCCAGAGAAGCAAGGGGGATTTATCAGCCGGCTCCCTCCCAAGCCCAATCTCCACTGGTCAAAGTCCAGCCCTTAGGGTATTCATCTGCCATGCCTCTGTGTTGGATTGAGTGGCCTCTCCAAGCAGCCTCTGGAGAAGTCAGGGCCCCAGGGCTTCATGTGACCAATCCATAGGCCTGAGGACAGTCTCTCCTTGTCAGCTGATACCACCTAAAGAGCTTCCTGATCTGAAGTAGTGGCAGTAACAACAGGGGAACCTGACTCTAAGTTTGTGGGAGCAGTGCAAACAGCTGATGGGGCTATTCTGGCCAGGGAGCAAGGCGAGTGAGCAAAACCCTGGTGGGGGTCTGGGACAAAAAGGTTAGTATGGCTGCTCAGATCTAAGGTGGTCTACAAACTAAGTCCAGTAGCATCTCACAGATGGATCCTCGTCTTGTGTTGTCTTCATAGCCTGTGAGATGACCCACCATAATACTGCATGTTCATTTGAATACAATATATATTCTTAAGAATGGAAGCTCCCCAAGCTCACCTTTTTGAATAATATCTTTTATAACAGAGTTGGAAAATAGGGTAGTGACAAAAATGTGTTCCTTTGCTTCCCTTTTAAACAACGGAAGTTGGTGCCTCCCTTGGCTCTGCCCCATACATTCCTTCCATCATCTCTCTCTGCCCTCAGTGGGATGTGGCACTCTGTGCCTTGGAGGCCTGGCCTTGTCATTCCAAATTCTCCTTTGTGCACACTGAATTCTTAGAGTAGCAAAGCTTAGTCTCCTCCTGTTTTCAGTGCCCTTCTGAGATCCCTTGTGCTATTAATCCCACGCCTGAGAGTTTAATGGGAATTTTGTCTCAGGAACGTGGCCATGGTGAAGGATTTTATTGCTCATTTCTCTCTGCTTTTACCATTCACAATACCCTTTCCATCACTGCCTCTTCTCATTCATCCCAACCTCTTAATTAAGATTCCTACTCTACCCTACTCTTCCTTGTCTTGAAAACTTTCCCCAATCACAATTACCTCTTGAATGAATACCTTATCTCCATGCTAGGGCTACTTTTCTTCCTAAACAAAATTTTAAAAAAGTATTATTTGTGTATGATTTCACATCTAGGATTTTGTACTTTTATTGCCTACATTCCCTTAATTTCTAGATGATTAAATGAATCATCATTTTAAAAGTCAGCATTAATATTAGATTTACAGGAAAACTCTAACATCATGGCTCATTTGAGATCAGAGTAGTCCTAACTCCTACAAATACTAGCAAAGTAAAAGCACAGACTTCCAGAACTGAAAATGCTCTTTGAAGTTCAGTTAGTATGACAGCCCCCCACCCACCCATCCCAGCTCCCACTTGGCAGAGGAGAAAACAAGATGCAGAAAAGGCATGACTCACCCAGGCTCGTGGAACCTTAGAGTGGCAGAGGTAGGAAGAGAGGCCTAGCCCCTTGCCTCCTTGTCCAGGGTTCTCCTAAGCACAAGGCTTGCTTATTCAATAAACTGCATGGTTTGAATATTTACAAAGATATTTTTTTTGATAGGCCCCAGAATGTTAAATTACTCATGACAAGGAAGACTGTTTCCTGACTTTTCCCACCTTTTCATGTGACTTCCTATAGAAGTCTAAGGCTTCTAAGGGGTACCCCTGACACTATTTGATCAGCCCAGTATGGGCCCCTATGTGTAACCTGCCCCACAGCTAGTGATACAGACACTTCTGGTTGAATCTGGAGAAAGTACCTTGATCCCCTGACTCTGTCATCTCTGAGTATCCTGATGTGCTGCTATGGTTCAAAATGGACAGGAGGAGACACCATTGTTTGGCAGTAGTTTTTCATCAGATTATTGTGTTTTGGATAAAAATAGAAATAGAGGCTCGGCGCCTATAGCTCAACCGGCTAAGGCGCCAGCCACGTACACCTAAGGTGGCGGGTTCGAATACCCAGCCCGGACCCGCCAAACAACGATGATGGCTGCAACCAAAAAAAAAATAGCCGGGCGTTGTGGCGGGCGCCTGTGGTCCCAGCTACTTGGGAGGCAGAGGCAGGAGACTCGCTTGAGCCCAGGAGTTGGAGGTTGCTGTGAGCTGTAATGCCACGGCACTCTGCCCAGGGGGACAGCTTGAGGCTCTGTCTCAAAAAAAAAAAAAAAAAAAAAAAATAGAAATAGAAAAAAGACAGGAGGCTGAGGCAGGAAGATTGTTTAATGCAAGGAGTTTGAGGCTACAGTACATTAAGATTGTACCTGGGAATAGCCAACTTTACTCCAGCCTGGGCAACATAGTGAGACCTGTGTCTCTAAAACAAACAAACAACAAACAAAAATAAATAAAAGAATAGAAATAGAAATAAAAAAGATTTTAAACTGGTAAAGTAAAAAAAAAAAAAAGAAATCTTTAAATTTTCTAATCTTGTAAAAGTGTATTAATGACTTTCATTTGTCTCTGAGTCTAATCTGAAGCATTTGCCAATAATTACTGTGGGATTAGAGTGGGGGCTGAGGACAGCAATCTGAATTTATGTTTTGTTTTAGCGCTCACATTTCAAACTTACTGAATTGGATGATATTTACATGAAATTGAAAACTTAACCAGTTTTTATCTCAGTGTGTTTGCAAGTTCTGAAACAGGGTTTCAGGGAAATTCTGAAATTCTCTGTGAGAAATACAGCCTATTTTCCCATTTGGGGTATATTATTAAACCAAATTGCCCTGAGAGGTAAAGCACAGAGCAATTCAAAGAGGTGTCAAGGTCTCCTGGCATCTGATGCCTCTTCCCTGGAGGCTTGTTTTATTTCGTCATTCACACTTCACCTTTTTTATTCCAAGGTGACTTTTAATTCCACTCTTATTTTATGCACGGTAGTCACAATAGCTCACTTCAGATGTTAATATTATCTCTAAGGGATATTCCATACATCTGGTTTGCAGCAACTACATTCTTCTGCTTCTTTGGAAGCTTTAAGAAGTTCAGTGCCTATTCTCTGCAGTAAACAGAGCTATTTCTGATCTTGGTCAATCTATAGACCCAGACTTACATGTGACCTTGAATTATTAAAAAAAAACAAAAAAAATACACAAAATCCTGCTTTGATTATGCAATAAGGACACTAGGCTAACTCAGGGACTTTGTGCTCAGAGCTGAGAATAGAAATCTGCTTTTCCAAACACTTCAATGTCTGGGAGGGTAGCTGAATCCAGCTGCTGAACCATGGTGCAACGTCCAACTTAGAATTAAATTTTGGAGGGAGGCACAGTATATTTCCAAATTGCCCGGCTTCCTTCTTTATGCCCAGTCTTTCTCTTCTTTTTCCCTAGATGGAAAGTGCCATCCCTTCTCTATCCCACTGTGGAGAATCTGGACTGTAGCCAGACATTCAGTCACGGATGGCCTTGGCAAAGATGTATGATCTAATCTGAGACAGCATCATGCCAGCCAAGGCCCAGGGGCACTGAGGATGGAGTTGCTTTTAACCTTCGGGGTACAAATCATGGTATCCACATGGGAAGCCACAGCAGATGGAGACCTGGAAGTAACCCAAGTCTCGCCCAAACTGTCATTTCACAGATGGGAAAACCGATACTTACAACAGCTATGACTGGCTGTGTGTCATACAGTTGGGCATGGTAAAGGGAGAACTAGATCCCAGACCCAACTATGAAGGCAGGACCACACTGGCCCATTCACTTCTGTATGCCTAGCAATTAGCACAGTGCCTGGTATATAGGATGGGGGTCAGCTGAGGAAAAATCTGTTGAAGGAAAGAACAAATGTAACACCTCTCCCTCCATGTCAGCCTTATCACTCTTCCTGATATTAACTAACATCCTCAAAAAAGCCTCTCTGTTCTTTTCTCTAGGCCAGGAGAGATCACAGAAGCATGGCCAGGACACTGTTCTCCTAAGCCAGGAAGGCAGCTGGTAGAGCAGGAGGCAGGCCTTCAGAAATGCTCCTGGCTAGGGTCTCCCTAAATTTGGGGCCAGATTGAGGCTACTGTATGACCATTTGGAAGACAACAATTGTTTACAAAAGTGTTTCTAGTTTATCTAGGAACCAAGACTGATTTCAAAAGCTGTGGATGTTGAAGGGGGATCCTGAAAAGTTTGGGAGCTCCAGACTTGGGGATGGGGTCAGATCATAGAAAGTGTCTTGTTCTTAAGGGATAAGAAGAGACCCTCTGGTCAGACTAGGAAAATGCTAAGTATCTGGAAAGGTTCTGCAGTTGAGAGAGGGCAGATTCATAACAGAGAAATGAAACTTTACTCTTTCACAGGTTGTTGGTTTTCAACGGAGAGGGAGTGACCCCTGATTTTGCCTCCAGCGACAGCTGTCTTGGTGTGCTGTGGTGTGCTGGCCCGTTGGAGCTCCACAAGCAATGGCCGCTGAGATCAGCTGTTTGCCTTGAGAGCACAGCCTTGGGGAACCTGGCCTGGAAAGGAGCCTTAAAGGAGAGTCGAGGAGAAAAGGAGCGAGGAGGAAGGGGTTGTGGTCAGTCGACCTCCGCGCTGGCCCGTGGCGGGAGCTCTGCTCCTGCTACCCTCCTGCGGAGACCGAGACCGCCTCAGCGGGCCCGAAGTCCTCGCGCCCCGCGTGCGCGCCCGGCCGCTCCGCGCACCTGCCGTGGGCGCCGCGCTGGTCTGACCGGCTGGCGGGCGGGCGGCGCGCACAGGTGGCGGCGATTGGGCAGGCGGGGCCCGGAGGGTGACGTCACGGGCTCCGGTCCCGGCGGCAGAAATAGGGCAGCCGCGGCTGCGGTGGCACAGCAGCGGGCAGCGGCGGCTCAGAAAGCTGGAGCCTTGACAGCTCCAGAGAACCCGGGACCCGCCGACAGCCGGAGAGACCGACCGAAGGACGTGGGGCCGGCTCGCCGCCGCCGCCGCCACTGGGCGCTCCTTCCTTGTCGCCCGAGTCCGGCCACCTGGTCTTCCCTTCGGCCCCGCCGCCTCAGGTATGCAGGCGGGAGCAGCTCCGGAGCGGGCGTGGGAAGGGGACCAAGCTGCTTTCGCCGCCACCAATCCCGCTGCGCCCCCCGGGGTCCTGGCGCCCGCAGCCCCGCGTCTTGCTGCAGGGCCCGGCGCGGGCGCTTCCTTGTCCTTACTGCCCGCGCCAAGAGAGCTAAGTTTGCCCGCCGCCGCAGGCACGAGACCACCCGGCCAGGGCTAGGTCCCGAGGTAAAGGCTGTGGCGCCGACGCTCGTGGCCGGGGTCTGCGGTGGGGACAGAGTGACCCGGCTGGCGCGCGGGGCGCCACACAGCACCGCTCGGGCGAACCCCAAGCTCGTGCACGGCTAGGAGACGCTGCAAGCGCCGCTCTTGGGCTCGGGACCCCAGCAGCCCCAGAAGAGCCGGGGGAGCGCAGTCCGTGGGCTCAAACCCGTGCCCTTGGCTCGGGACTGCGGGGCGGACATTCTCAGCACTTCAACCTCCCCCTGCCGCTGCCCGCTCCCCAGCTCTGCGGGGAAACTTGCGTCTCCTCGCTGCGGCCCGAGGGGCCCCCAGCGCCTCTCCTGGCCCTCACTTGGGGTCTGCCACCTAAGAGGCTGGGGATGAGGAAATCGGGCACGACCCAGAGCCAAGCAGCCCCCGGCTCTCGTTCTGCCGAGCGGGTCGCCGTCCAGGGCTAGCAGCGAGGGTTACCCGCCGGGGAGTCTCTAGGGAGCAGTTTGTTCTTGGGGCTTGGTCCTAACAGAGCTTGTACTGTGGGTGGGTGATCTCCTCCCCTCTTTGCGACCAGTTCCAAGTTTCAGGGACACCAAGACGATGCAGAGCGCTCCGCTTCGGGCGTGTGTCCTCTCGCCCGAGGAGGAGTTTCAGGAGGAGCGCAGCGCTAGTCTTTCGGGCTCCCTGCATCTGACAAAGCGGTGCCAGCCCGTGGCCTGCCACCTGAGGACTTCGGAGGCACCCGCAACTCTGCGGGAGCAGAAACCCGCGGAAGCAATAGCGTTTCTCACAGTGCCCGGAACGTGGCCCGCACCCCGGCAGCGCGTCCGTCTGCGGGAAGTTCCCGGGGGCCGGCGGAGCTCGGCCCACGGAGTTGTCCCCAGGCGCTGTCCAGCGGACCACGCTCGGGATAACTGTCCCCGACACTGACGAATTGCGCTGCCACAGCCTCTCTCCGGCTACCCTCTAGGTGTCGCTTCCGCCGAGGTTTCCGGGAGAGAAAAATTGCGCCAGTAGCTTGGCGTGTTCCTTCGTAAATTTGTTGCAGCTTGTGCACCAGGAATTGTGCTAGATGGGGACTCCGAGGTACAAACATCCGTCCACGTTCTCTGGGCCAAACATAAGTAGAATTTCAATAAGAGGTGGCAAGGGAACTGCCAGCCCAAATGTTCACCGGGGATGGGACTATACCACCGTCTGTGAGGGTAAAAGAGGAATCAGGAAGCCGCTCGGACAGGATCTCTCTAGAGATCTCTCTCTCCTAAATTATTTCCCTAACGCTAGGTTTTGGGGCAGCCAGAGATGATGTTTTACAGTGTCTTCTTAGTCCTCAGCGGGCCAATTTCTGTGCTTGTCCCTTATGGTTCCCAGAGCAGGTTCTGGCCAGTGGTCTAGTGGAGGATTCACCTGGGAAGCAAATGGTCAGGAGCGTGAGTGATGTGGCTTCTCTGACATCTGAGCCGCCGCCCCCTCTCAGGTCTCAGGTGGTAGCTCAAGCCCAACACCTGAGATACCCTGCAGGACGCACGTCTGCCTCCTGTCTTGGTATTGCGAGGAGACACTGCAGCGGCACTAGGCTGTTCTGCCACACTCTGCTGAATGTTAGCTTTCCTCCCATCCTTGGAAAAAAGACACTACCTTCTCCCCAGACTTGAGACTGAGCCAAAGGTCAGGCAAGAAAATAGCCCACTTTGATGTAATGTCTTAAAATCGCTCATTAAAGTCATCCCAGTGCCTTTTTTTCTTAGTATTTCATGATTACTCTCAATTTTTGTTGATTCCAGGAAGGCTTTTTTTTTCTTCTAGAAAGGGGCCAGCTTGCTCTTCTGGGCATTGGGGGAACTTTTATCCTTTCGGCTGTCCCTTGAAGGTGGGTGAAGTAAGGGGAGGCTGATTTTCTACCTTGACCAGTCACTCAGGATTCTCTTCCTTTTCTAAGGCTGTGGGATTTCTTTTAAAAGTGACCTTCATGTTATGCTCTTTTGTTTGACTTAACACTCTATTCCAGACTGACACTGAATAGTAAGGATTTTATAAAATGTACTTTAATTCCTACCTTGCCTCTTTTGAGTATTTCTCTCCAAACACAATCAACTTGAGTTGCTTATGTGTGGTCAATTGTAAGCTTCTTAACTTAATGAAATTGGGTAGCTATTTCGAGAACACATCTCTCTTTATATTTTCTATCTCTGAGTGCCTAATGCAGGGCATGGAACTTCAAATAATACAGAATTATGGTCAAGAAAATGTGCTACTTAAAAGGTGTAATCTGAAGGTTGGCAGGATAAGAGTTATTAGAAGTCATACCTGTGTATGGGCTAAACTTCATGGCAAATAGGAATGTCATAGATTTATACAATGCACGTAAAATAATTTCAGCATCTAATTTATCAAGTGCTGGAAGAATTAACCAATGCTACAGAGTAGATAATTAATAGGAAATGCAATTTAACTTCATTATAGCTTGCTGCAAGGTTATCCTGTTATATTTCCATGCCTAATTTCCCCTAGTTGGTATTTTAGGGACTATCTTAGGAAATTTGAACCACTTTCTTTTCCTAAAACACTCATAAATCAAAATCAGAGTCCTAGGCCTTTCCAGAGAAATCACCTTACAGCTTCCTGGTTTCAGGCTGAAGTTGATATGGCTTTTTTCTTAACATTGGGCAGACGCACAGAGGAGGACTGCAGACTTTTGGTGGTCCCTGTTAATTCCTAATTGTTGACTGCCAACATGCCCTGTGTAAAATGCAGCACACCTAATGTGGTTTGCTAGGACAGATACTTTTTCAGTTATAAAGGTTAGGAATGCAGATGCCTCAGAGTCACACATCTGGCTGCTTTCATGGCTTGGTGACATTGCTTTCCACCAAATCATCTTCATAATTTCAGACTCTGTTGGTTACAAAGAGAAGCCATTTTTGTATGCTAATCTTTAATGGCTGGTAAAATTACCAAGTTCTAGGGGAGAGGCTAAGAGAGAGAGAGAGAATTAGTGAACAATGTCTCCAATGCTCTCAGGGTCAGAATTTTCATTCTTCCCAACATGGCTGGTTCCTAGAATAGCAAAATGAACTTTGTGTTAACCCAACACCCGCTTAGTGGTAGTACTTCTCTGGCCTCTGCACCTCATCAATAAAGACAGCTTATGTGCCCACATGTGTTCTCTGGGTGGGGCTGATTTTGGAATTTCCATATTAATGCCTGTTTCTAATGATCTGCATTCTTCTGTCATGCTTTTTCAACTTTCTTCAAAAAGTAAGTCAGTATTTGGAACGTTACGTTGTGCTAGTTTGTAATACCTCTATAATTTCAAATACACATAAATAACAGCACAGATATCAGCTTGTTTAGGACACCAGGAAATCTTGTTGTTTTCACAAGGAGAAGGTAGACAATCTGGTGGGGCTCCTCCTGCACTGAAAAAAGCAAAATCTGGCTGACTAAACAGGGACGGCAAACTTCTATGTACTCTGGGTATAAGTGTGTGATAATGTCCTCGGGAGCAGAATGCCTGGGTTCTAGTCTAGGATTGTCATGGCTCCAAGCTTTGCTCAAATTCTTCAACCTTCTGGGCCTCTGTGTGGCAGCCAGGTAAACACTTGCTTCTCCTAGCCATGGGGTAATGTTGAGGCTCTGGTGGGAAACCACAGGGGAAGCAACAAAATACCTCCCTTCAATAAGATGTCTTTAATATCAAGTGATTATACTTTAGGAGTAGTTTTGAAGAAAAAAACAGCCCCAGATATTTATAGGAGGACAATCTCAGGTACATCTATCATTAATAGATGCTCAGGACTTAGCATGGATTGAATGAAATTTCTCTACCTAAGTTGATCTGAAAAGGAGCTCTAGGTTGAAAAAGAAGGTTTGTGACCTTATTTATGACACCTTCCCAGTTCTACCATGGGGAGAATCTTGCATTTTCCTCTATCTGAAGGCCAGTAGGGCTATTTGAATTTTGGGGGTAATTAATTTGTTTGCATATCCACTTCCCTACATTAACTGTCTTTACTACATTGGTACTTCCTGTGAACTGAAGGGCGTCCTTGCTGCCGAGGAAGGATCCTGTGCCTTTTCTCCTGACTTTTGTCTTTTTTAACCACATTCTTTTCTTGTCCCATAAATCAAGGAGCAATGAGGGTGGAGGAGGGTGTGCTGAACCCCCCTGCACCCCATGCCCAGGTAGACTGCAGGAATTGAGGGGAAGCAACTTGCCTCTTGCCCCTTGTGCTGCCATGGTTGGAGCCATGGCAGCTAGAGGAGGGCAGTTTTGGCAGCTTTCAGAGGAAAGGGGAGACTTGGGGCTCAGGGTCTCCTATCTTACTCTATGTAGATCAAACGAAACTGATCAAATGAAAACCAACTGTTAATCAAAATAAAGTATTGCTAAGTGTTGGCAGGTAGCATAGGATGGGGGTTAAGAGCATAGATGTCAGGGTTTCACCTACCTGGCATGGAATCCCAGCCATTTATTTGATGGTACCTTCCTGGTTTAATAATGGGTAGATTCTTACATTTTCTTGCCATGACCTTGTCAGGGTACTTAACCTCTCTGTGACCGTGTCTCCTCTGTCATCTAACTAGGGGAAAATCATTGCCCTCCTTGTGGCACTCCTTGCACTCCTTGTGGAGTAGAAAAATGAGGATTATGAGTTAACATCTACAGAGTATTTAGAACAGTGCTTGACACTGTGTTTCCCCCAAAATAAGACCTACCCCCAAAATAAGCCCTAGCAGGATTTCTAGGCATTTGTTAAATATAAGCCCTACCCTGATAATAAGACCTAGTGATGCATTTCGGTGCAGAAAGGAAGACATCCCCTGAAAATAAGCCCTAGTGTGTCTTCTTGAGAAAAAAATAAATATAAGACAGTGTCTTATTTTCGGGGGAACACGGTTGTAATTGCTATGTAAGTGTTAACCAAATAGATCAGTGGTTCTCAACCTTCCTAATGCTGTGGCCCTTTCATACAGTTCCTGTGGGTCACAACTCCCAGGTTGAGAACCGCTGAAATAGTCTCTATTTGGTTATTAGACAGAACATCAAAATTGATTTAGACTCAATGTGAAGTCTTTTTTTATGAACGGAGCTGTCATGAAACTTGAGTTGTAAATTTTTAGGCTGTTGCTGCTGTAAATGGGATGAATTGTCAGTCACTCTAAGTATAAAATGACATCTAAGACACACTCATGGTGCAAATGAAATCAGAGCTAGTGGCCAAACTGAGCTAAGGTTTACAAAGAAGCTGCTTAGGAGTGAACCAGCAGTTGGCCTGGTTCACATTTCCCTGTTTCCAAATAAAATCTTGTAGGATATCGCAACATAAACCAAATAAAGCCAGTGTCAACTTTAGGTAGAGTTCCAGGCTTGGAGTTTGGACGTCCTGAAACTCAACTCAGAAACACCTATTTTAATACCTGCAATCTGGGTGTATCTTCTTAAATGAAGTGATTTGAGGCTTGCCAAAGTAACGATCGAAATGAGTGGGTTTTATTTTGATGTTATCCATTAATAATACATCAGACATAATTGATCTTAGATTACTAGACAGATTAAAAATTAAATACTAGATTTTGTGGCTTATGTATTTCATAACTCAGGAATTGACATCTGTATAGTAGCGAGGATAAATTTTTCTATCCTGCTGTTTTGAGTTTATCTAGGCTACAGGGCATGAAAAAGGAAAAAAGCAGACCTTGATATGTTCGCTTACTTACTGTATGAGCAATGTTTGGTAGTGGCAAAGTAGGGAAAAATTAATAAGACAGTAGGAAACAGTGTCTTTCTAGTTCTAATTTAAATTACTATGGCTGGTGTTTGAAAATTCCCAAAGCCCAGGAGCTGCCTTCTGTAGTCTCTGGAGACTGATTCTGTCTTCAGAAGAGGATAATTTTTGAAGAGTAGAAATTTTTTTAGGAAATATTTTTAGAAAAACCAATTGCAGTTAGGGAAAGACGTTTTTATTCTCTCTTAGTCCTGATTGTGATTTTTTTTTTCCTGTTCCTTGTCTCTGTAAGAAATCACACATCCTAGCTGGAGCACTGGATCAGGAGTGCAGAGTTGGGTGGGTGCTGTTAATGTGACAGTCCTCTCCCAGGCAGTGGTGGAAGTGGCACTGGTCCCCTTAAGGCTGCCTTTCAGTGCAGAGCAGGTGCTGATAGTGGCGTGACTGTGACCTTCACATTATATTTACTGACCTCCCAGACTGTTTTCCCAGGAGCTCAGCTTCGCCAACAGATGTCAAAGAGGAATGACCGAGAATGGAGATGTAGGAATGGGAGCCTATGGACTTCTTTTAAAAGAGGACAGACATTCTCTTCAAAGATAGTCACATCTTATTAACTTGCCTTTTCTTAGGCCAGTGTTATATGCCCACAATTTTTCCTCTGCCTTTTCCTCCCTGTGGGCATTTCTGTCTTAAGCTGGAGACATAAAGCAAATGTGGAGAGGCAGCTCTATTTGGATGTGGAAGGCAGCCAAAGGAAACCTGGAATGTGGCAAGAGTGTATTTGTTTGATATCTCTGGCCTCAGCACTAGTGGCTGTGTGACAACCCCCACCCCTTTGCCTGGAGTAGGGATCCTCCAAAGCTATTGACTATGCGAGTAAGCAGGGGCGGACCCTCAAGCACCCGCTCGTTTCTCACTTGGAGCCCGCTCTGGACAAGCCCCAGGCCGGGCCATAGTAGATGCTGGCCTCCAAGGAGCTCAGTGTGTCTTCATCTGGCCAGCCATGATCAGAATATAGTGTGGACCACACGCGATTAAGCACTAAATTGTGCGGTGCATGCAGAAATCAATAACCCCTGAAATTTCCTTGAGTAAGAGGTGTAAATACTTCATGTTGCGTTCAATTTGGTTACGTTTCATAGACAGATACTGAAATTATAGTTAGAATATGTTTAGAGTAGAAATATTTTTCCCAAAAAAGTGCAGCTAACTGGACAAATGGAATAGTCTGTGTCCTCATGCCATTGGCACGGTTAGCATAATGCCTGGCACACAATAGGTACTTGAGTATTTGTTGTAGCTGATCCTTAATTTTTTCATCCATGTAATTCTTTGATTACCTTGAATTGCCCATTTTTTGTCTTCTGGAACTTTAAACAATATGATAAAGTGAACCTCAGGAAACATCTAGAAGTTTATTGAAATTCCATTATCATTGGATGCTTGGATTCTGCTACAAAAATGATATATTGGACCTCATGATGCCATTTTGAAGCTCATTATCTTGTAAACTGAGGTGTCAGCTGCAAATGAAGTGCCATAGATTTAACTTAATTTCAAGTTGGCATTTCTTGAACACTAATTGTATGCCCAGCCTCAAATGCTTTCTTAGGAAACTGAGGCATGGATATATAATACATAATATATATGATACATAGTAAATGTATACATAGATATACAATAGATGCATACCTGGATATATAATACATAATAGAATTGACCTGGCTGTCTCATTACAGTTTTTTCTTATAAATATAGTGGTAGTGGCATTTCAAGTGGGTTTCTACATAACAGCATTTATAGAGTTCTTTCTATATAGTTGACATTGACTCTTTCAATCATCACAAAAACCCTACAAGACATTGTTGCTTCCATTTTAGAGATAAGTACACTAAGGCTCAGAAGTAATGTAATTTCTCCAAAGTAGAACAGAAGGGTTGGTGCTAGGCTCTAAACCCAGGTTTATCTGATTCTGGAATACGCCTACTAACTCACTGTGACTTGCTACACATCTTACAATGCTTAGTTGTAAGCATTTGTCATTTTCTCAACAGATTCAACAAAATGAAACCAGGAGGCTTTTGGCTGCATCTCACCCTGCTCGGGGCCTCTCTGCCAGCGGCACTGGGATGGATGGACCCAGGAACCATCGGAGGCCACAACATGGGTGTGGGGGAGTCACAGATGGAGGTATAGTCAAATACTGGCTGACGTGACATGTCAAACTGATTTATTTTTGATGTTATAGTATCTGATTTCTCCTCCACCTTTAGTTTAGATCGATTAGACCAAAATATAAATTAAAATAGCATTCCCTGGATCGGTGCCCATAGCTCAGTGAGTGGGGCGCCAGCCACATACACCAAGGCTGGCTGGTTCAAGCCCAGCCCAGGCCTATGAAACAATAGTGACAACTCCAACCAAAACATAGCCAGGTGTTATGGCAGGCACCTGTAGTCCCAGCTACTTGGGAGGCTGAGGCAAGAGAATCACTTAAGCCCAAGAGTTAGAGGTTGCTGTGAGCTGTGACACCATAGCACTCTACTTAGGGTGACATGGTAAGACTCTGTCTCAAAAAAACAAAAAATAGCATTCCCTTTTTGGTGGGGAAAAAAGCAGCATCTGTTGATGTGGACAAGAGGTTTATATCATGATATGAGTAATGGCTTTAAAATCTCTCGAATGCTGCAAATGTATTCCAGAACTAAGCTTTACTTGCATGGTTAGTCCTCCACATAGACCCTCAAGAAAATGGCCTTTCTGTGTACTTAATAAAACACTGAAAACACAGACTAATTGGTGGAGCACCCCCACGTGAATTAATGAAGTGTTTTCATTATAAAATTTGTTTTAAAAGAAATGGACTAGTTTTCAGGTATATAGATAAAAAGAACCAGACTGAAAAAGAACTGGCAAGTGGAGGTCCTAAGGGAGACTGCTTTAATGAACAGATAAGAATGATTAATGGCATGTTAGGTATATAATATAAATGCTTCTAAAGTGCTTGAAAAACTTGTTCTCAAATACCTCCCAAGAGAGTCTAGATGTACTGCTAATTGCTTAGTGAACTCTGATCTGAAGTACTGAAGAGGATTCACAAACCGCAACCTAGTCCTGCTCAAGGTAGTAGGCCCGGTGAATTTGGGGGTTGTGGGAGGTACTGCAGAAAATGCCTTCGGTGTGGTGAACCTTAAGAAATGACTGCACTCTTTTATGAAAACTACCTGGGATTTTCTCAGTGCTGTGACAAATAACAATTCTTCTCAGGGAGGTTTTCAGGGCATTTTTTTTCTCCTTTTGTCTTCTTTGATGCCTGCCCTTCTCTTTGTCTCTATTCCTGTTTCCTGTCCTGTGGAATAAGAAATAAAAATTACCTCAAAAAGTCAACATTGCCAGAGAGCAAATGAGGTTACACAGAGTATTGTAGGATTAATGCATTATTTGATCAAAAGACACGATTTCTCTTTCATTATTACTTAATTGTAATGCAATCCCAAACCTACAAGTCTTAATCTTTGGGGAGCTTCTGAAGTAATTTAATGCATACTTTTCCTGCTGAAGTTAGTGTGGTTTCCTCCTTTGTGGCGAGCAGATGATTAAATAGAAATGCTATCTCTCCCATCTAAATCCATGAAGGACGCAACTTAATGCTCTTTTGAAAGAGTCTAGAGGCTGACTTGCTGGTGAGAACAGCATTTCCCATATGGGACCGGCTTTATCAGTATTGTCATATCTATACAAAGGGAAATGATCCCTTAAATCCTACAAATATATTGTTGAATATTTAATAGCAAAGCAAACAGCAAGTGTACAGGTATGCTTAGTCCTGTTACTATTGGGGCTCATTGGCCCACTGTTTTAAATCACTTATTTCAATTAAAAAGTCAAGCTAATTAAGGTGGGATTTAGCTGAAGATAAATTGAAGGCAAGTTTATATCAACCTAGGGTCTCTTTATCTCAGCCGTTAATACCCTAATTCTTTGTGTACCACCAAAAAAGAGCAGGTGCTGCTCACTCTGAGGAGGTAAGGCTTTTTGTGTGGGGTTATTCACACACACACACACACCTACACACACACACACACCCCTTTAGAGCTATTGTCTTCCAAGTCCAGGAATGTTGCTGCTTCAGGAAAGGGATGTGCTGACTCTGCAGATTCTGGAATGCGGGAACAACTGCCCTATTGATCATATTTTCTTTTTCTTTTGCCATAGCTCTTGCTTTTGCAGTGTTATAACTTCTTATTGAGGCTGCCTGTATCCATGATGAAATGAGATGATGATAATTCAAAGGGGCCTGGTACGTAGGATGGCCTCCGTAAATGTTTAGCTGCACAGTGTGGATTCATTTGCCGACCTTGATCACACTCTATGCAATCCCCGCAGGCCCTGGGCCCTGGCTCACCAGGGTCCTCCCGCCTGGCAAACTGTCTTTTCTTCCCATGTCTGAATCTTGCACCCTCCTCCAAGGCCCAGGTCTGGTTCTTAGTTTTTCTTTAGAACCTTCCCTTGGCCACTTTGGGTCACATTTGGTTTCTTTCTCTGAACTCTTGCTCTTTCCTTTCTTTTTCTTCTTCTTCTTTTCATTTTAGCCTATGAATGAGGCTATTATTTCATTTTAGCCTTTCTCTTCCTCACAGTGTCCAATAATTTTGTGAGCAAAATAAAGGCTCAACGTGTTTTTAAGCCAATCAACACTTACATGACATTTGTTACTGCTCATGAAGTCACCCTGGTGCTTTCAAAATTCAGATTAGGCCATCAGCTTTTTAAATACATGGCATCTTTGCCCGTACAGCAGGTTTGCCACCCGTGGGGATGTGGATGGCCTCCCCAGCACACCTGTGAGTGCTTACAGGCCAGGCAGTTGTCTCGTGTACTATCAGCGTCCAAGATGGTCCTTGTGTTATAGTTTCTGGGTAGTTTCTCGTTAGAATTGTAGTTATGAATATATCCATAACTCACACCCCAACCATATGAAATTAGTTTCCTCAGTCTTATTTCCTGGAAAAGTTTAAACCAACAAAGTTTCCCGAGAGACTCTAAACAAACCAAAACACTTCTTCAGGAACCAAATATTAAAATGAGCATGCTTCCTATCTAATAGCAGCTCTTCACAAAATACTCATTAACTTAAGATTCTTAAAGGACTTGGGAAGCATTAATAAGGTTTGATTTGCCTTTAAAGTAATTATACCCATTACTTAAGCGTCCTAAGGGTAAATACAAATTAACTGACCACTGTGTTTGTGCTCACATATTTTTAAAGCAATTTTGTTTTATGTATAAAGACTGCAGTGGGAATAGCTTCGAGGAGTTTACCATTTTACAGATGTAGATAACAAGAAATGCAGCTGGGCGGAGTGCCTCTTTCATAAGAGTGGAGTGACAGGACGTGGCCTAGAATGCTAATATAATTCTGAATTCAAAGTAAACAATTCTCAGATGTACAATTTATTGAAATTCTGAAATGTTATTACATTTTCCTCCCTTTCCCCTATATAGATGCTCCTTGACTTATGATGGGATTATATCCTGATAAACCCATTTTAAGTTGGACATACTGTAAGTCAAAAAGGCATTTAATACATCTAACCTACAAAACATCATAGCCTAGCCTAGCTTGTCTTCAGCGTGCTCAGAATGCTGACAGTAGCTTATGGTTGGGCAAAATCACCTAACAGAAAGCCTATTTTTTAATAAAGTATTGGACATACCCTGTAATTTATTGAATACAATACTGAAAGCGAACAACACAATGGTTGTGTGGTACCTGAAGTATGGTTTCTACTGAATGTGTATTGCTTTTGTACCACCATTATGTTGAAAAATCCTAAGTCAAGCCATCCTAAGTCACGGCTCGTCTGTGCTCTGGCTAAGATAAATGCAGTAGTAAAATCAATATTGGTAGAATTTTATATTTGAGGAACCACGGAACCAAGAAAGAGTGAGAAATGATGTGGTGGCAGCCTCCAGAGAGCTGACCTGCTTTTGACAGGCTGGCATTTGTGGGAGCCCCCTACCTTGGGTGCTGTGGTCCAGCACCAGGGTCTGACTCACTTGCTGAGCTCTGGGATTGAATGGTGGCCATTACATCCTTTATCCATTTTACTTAACATTTTCTGAATTATTCCTACCCGTAGTAGATATATAGTCATGTTCTAAGTACCTATAAATGTTAATATTGGTTCTTTTTATTATAAAATTGTTTGCCTCATAGGCCTCAGTGCTTACAGACCAGAGTAGGCATTGAGCTCAGGCACCATGTGTTCTTGCTATTTGCAAACTCTATCAATGTAAAGTCTTCCAGATAAAACTATGCAGGGTGGTATCAGTTAATGTGAGCATGATCTCCTCCTCCCTAGCCTCAGGGGTCAGCCTGAGAAGGCATTGATCCTACGCTGGAGATCTGCCCTTTCACCTTTCTGTGAGCAGTGGCCCCAGACGCAGACAGCAGTTACAGCGCCCGTCCCCACAAAGGCAGCTTCTAATTGCAGAGTCCCTAAATGCTCTCTGGCTTCTCTCTGCCTTGGTGGGGCATTCAGGAGTACTTGGGCTACAAGACTGGGCATAAAATCTTTCAAAACTATTTCATAGTTTTTTTCATATTCTGTTGACTTTAAGGTAATGTTCCACCCTCTGCCACCTTTCCTGGTGAAGTTCTCCTCCCCAGTACCCATGCCCCTGAGACAGGGGTGCAGGCTGGATTTTCTGAGCCTCACCTGCAGGCCGGCATACATGCCTCATATGTATCTTCTGCAAAACCATCCTTCCCAAGCGCTCACTGCTCTGAGTTCTAGTATTTGACTAGCTTTCAAACAACATGAGATTCTGGACAAGGTCTCAACAAAAAGCAAGAATAACCTTACTCCTAGGGCCACAAGCACTGAGATTACCAAAAGCACCCTTTTACAGAGCTCCAGGACTTCCGCTGCAGGTGTGGTGCCAGCACTGGAGGCAGGGGTCCTCTTCTCTGGGTCCCCAATACTCCCCCCTGGTTCTCTGATAATTATTCTGAGTCAGAAGGTAGGAATGGTTTCTTAGGTAGAACTGGGAGGTCACACCCTCCCACCTGCAGATGTACAAGTACATCCATATTTTTTTTAGGTGATTGATGATAGCAGTATCCTTTCAAGTTTTCAGGGGCATTAGGATAAGTCCCTTCTCACTTACAAAAGTAGTGTCAGTCG